TTCCTTCCTATCCTGTCCCTCCTGTACAGCCTATAGCCCAGTCATGCGTTGGGTCCCAGACTCTGCCCCTTTTTTCTTACTAGAATGATCTTTGGAATAAAATAATTTGAGCTCATATTATTACTACTGGCAGTCCTCAGACTTACAACACAATTGGTTCCTGAAAACAGCGTCTTAAGTTGAAACGTTGTAAATCGGAACCAATTTTCTCATAAGAAACAATGTTACAAATGGGGGATTGGTTCCTGAACGAAGGCCTGATATCCTATTTTCACCCAAAAATACCCCAGAATTTTGTATTCAATCAATTATAGATAAGTAATATAGCTGCATTAATATATTTATTTTGTAAATAGCAATCCTATTGATTTGGAAGGACTTCTTTGAGGTGACTCTGCTGGACTTTTTGAAGGGTTCTGGGCTGGAGTCTTCTCAGGAGTCTTGGCTGCAGGTTTTTCTGGAGTCGTGTCTGCTTTCTTAAAGAAAGCATTCAAGGAAGTTTTGACAGATGTTCTCCAGGGAGATGAGCGATGCAGCGAACTTGTTTGCCGGGATGGCATTGTATTGGATCAAGCATTGTAAGTCGAAACTGGCATTGTAAAGTTGAAACAGGGTAAGTGTGAAATATTGTAACTCAAAACGTTGTAAGTTGAGGACTGCCTGTACTTAATTCTCCTAACTATCACATCAAGATTAAGATTTCTGTTCAGTGGAAAAAGGGGTCATATCCATATGGGAAGTCTGCTGTATTACTGCAGGAGTGTAGGGTCAACTAGTCTGATCCTATATGGGTATAATCTACCTGCTTTTTGTCTAGACAGTGCATTAATGATAGAGTCACTTAAATATATGAAAAGATGAGGTCAAGCACTGAGGTTGAGACTCCTCACTTCTCAAGCACCTTATGCACCTCCTAGGTTAGATGGAGGTCCTGCATTTGGGCTAGGAACCCACGTGAGCGGTCAGACCTGGCTGACTGCTCTTCCCAGCAGATGTCTGGAAGATTCAGGTCATCCATGATGACCTAAGTCAGCTAAGGTAAGGTATTGAAACAGTTTTATGCTAATTTAATTAAGTGTACCTCTTGACTCTGCAGGAGAATAAGTAGTATTACACCCATCTGGTGGATGGATATAGTGAGACCCTGAGAGACTAAAGGCCTGATCTTCAGAAGAACTGAACAGTTGCAGCTCCATTTTAGTTAACTGAGAGCTGTGAAATCTCAGTACCTCCCAGGATTAGACCCTCTCAGGTCTGACTGTGCGTACTTTTGGTTTCAAGTTGCCTTTTTTTCACCACCACCATCTTGCTTGTGGCTACCCTACCAGTAGCAGTGCTAGGAATACAAACCTGTTGCAGAATTCATCCATTTTGCATTTGCAATTGGCTTCAAGACGTTTGCCCAAGGGGAAGCAACTAGATGCCCTTTGCTTTAATTTATAGCAAAACCTCCCACCCCTGAACATTATAGAAACATTTGTGAGGTTGCAGAATCCACAACATTAAACAAGACTGAAATTGTATAATGTCCTCTTATTACCACATAGACCTTGCACTCTGGTTACATGGTAGGGTCTATTTGTTTCCTGCTTCTAACATACAGAAGAGGTAACTATGTCTTTTTTCCCCCATCTTTGGTTATCTCTCTTTCATTTCTTTCAACAGACTTGACTTATGTTCTCAAGCCCTTTTTCAATTTAGTGGCAGAATTTGAGTGTCTGCATTAATGTTCCTTCATTTCAAGCTTTCCAGCTCCAGACCTGATTTTCTAAGAGGGGCGACATTATTGATTGGCTTCTTCTATCTTCTTTGGTAAATTTGACAAGGAATTTAAAAGCTCTTTTGATTTTGGTAGTTTATATATAATAGGTTGTTATTGAGCTTCAGTTCAGGCAGATCATTAAGCTCATTTGCAGTTTAATTAACCTCAAACAATACTATAACAATATGTTAACTTGCCTTCACACAGATCAAAAGAAAATACTGTATTAAGAACCTCAGATGTAAGGTTGACTCCCAAGGAGGTGCTCCACCTCATGTAGAAAAACATTGTAACTCATAAAACACATTTGTGCAGAACCCAGACTTGGAAAGAATGCAAACTTTTGTTTGGTGACATTTAGAGTCCATCTCTCAGATGCAATAGGTTGCTGTTACTCCTCTTGAAATAAGCCTTTTGCTCTCAGTCCTATGATGAGGGAACTATTGATTTGTTTAATTATCATTAGTGATTTCTCTCCCGTCTGCTGAGATTTGACTCTTGCAAAATAAAAGCCTGGCTGCGCATACAAATACATTGCAAGTGGACAAAGAAGCAATGGGACACTTGCACCGTGGTCTGGCTAAATACCCTTTTATCTGAGAATAGTACTCAGCTGGGTTATCCCCCACAAACTACCCTAGCAGGGTTGTTCTAGGACAAGGGTGGGCAACCTGTGGCACGGGTAGCCTCTGTGTGTGACATGCAGCACGTTGGAA